TTCGTGCGTTTGACCTCTTGGTCCATCATTTCGATTGGTTCTTCTACAAACTTCAGGTTCTCGTTGATTTGAATCTCATCGAGAAGAATTGTGAGGGTTTCATCGGACACGCATTTCCTAAGATTTGAGACATGGAAGACGGGATGAATGTTACTGAGTTCATGCGGTAGACGAAGTCTGTAGGCTACAAGACCAATCCTAGCAAGGATTTTGTATGGTCCTATGTACCTTGGATTTAGCTTTCCCCATTTTCCAAAGCGTATCATGCCTTTCCATGGCGTGAACTTTAGCAGAACGGTCTCCGACCTGGAATTCCAATGGTTTTCATCATTTATCGACGTAGCTCTTTTGTCTATCTCGTGAAGCTCTTAGTCATATAGAGGGTGTGTGCGGCTGTACACTCCTCATTTGTGCCAAAAATGTCGATTTTTGAGGTGTTCAGTTACTAAAAACAAGTCCAAATAGAAAATGGAGGCCAAACTCTTTACCTTAGAGAGTTTTGATGAGTGTGCGGCCGCACTCCTTCAAAGGATGAAGAACACGAAGAACATGAAGAGTTTCAGGCTTGGATTTAGATGTTTTACCTGTATAACAAGCTAGATGATGCAGTTATTCATGTTTTTTAGGACCCCTAGAGTTTTCTTGGAGGAGATTTTTAGAGAGAGAAAGTAGTGTGCAGCCAAAGAAGAAAAAGTGAATGAAAGGGGGTCCTCTCCTATACATAGGGTCAGGTGTGCGGCTGGCCGGCCGCACACTCGAGTGTGCAGCTGCACACACCTTCTTTGGTGTGATTGGCTCGATTTTGTGATGCTACAAACTTTCTAACCATTCTTAAGACTCATATCTAGGTTATACTAAGCCTAAATCATTCATATGGACCCACAATTTCGCTAAAAGATGATAAATTCGAGTGTAATAGTGACACACGGATCAATTGTACAGGATAAAAGTTTCAGGTTGTTACATCATCCCCCGTTTGAGGGAATTTCGTCCCGAAATTCAAGAATATGGATATAAATCATGGATTTGGAAAAAGATGAGGGTACTTCTGTTTCATTGAATCCTCGCGCTCCCAGGTGAATTTAGGTCCCGCTTCGCATTCCAGCGAACCTTCACTATCGGGATGTGACTTTGTTTCGTGCGTTTGACCTCTCGGTCCATCATTTCGATTGGTTCTTCTACAAACTTCAGGTTCTCGTTGATTTGAATCTCATCGAGAAGAATTGTGAGGGTTTCATCGGACACGCATTTCCTAAGATTTGAGACATGGAAGACGGGATGAATGTTACTGATTTCATGCGGTAGACGAAGTCTGTAGGCTACAAGACCAATCCTAGCAAGGATTTTGTATGGTCCTATGTACCTTGGATTTAGCTTTCCCCATTTTCCAAAGCGTATCATGCCTTTCCATGGCGTGAACTTTAGCAGAACGGTCTCCGACCTGGAATTCCAATGGTTTTCATCATTTATCGACGTAGCTCTTTTGTCTATCTCGTGAAGCTCTTAGTCATATAGAGGGTGTGTGCGGCTGTACACTCCTCATTTGTGCCAAAAATGTCGATTTTTGAGGTGTTCAGTTACTAAAAACAAGTCCAAATAGAAAATGGAGGCCAAACTCTTTACCTTAGAGAGTTTTGATGAGTGTGCGGCGGCACTCCTTCAAAGGATGAAGAACACGAAGAACATGAAGAGTTTCAGGCTTGGATTTAGGTGTTTTACCTGTATAACAAGCTAGATGATGGAGTTATTCATGTTTTTTAGGACCCCTAGAGTTTTCTTGGAGGAGATTTTTAGAGAGAGAAAGTAGTGTGCAGCCAAAGAAGAAAAAGTGAATGAAAGGGGGTCCTCTCCTATACATAGGGTCAGGTGTGCGGCTGGCCGGCCGCACACTCGAGTGTGCAGCTGCACACACCTTCTTTGGTGTGATTGGCTCGATTTTGTGATGCTACAAACTTTCTAACCGTTCTTAAGACTCATATCTAGGTTATACTAAGCCTAAATCATTCATATGGACCCACAATTTCGCTAAAAGATGATAAATTTGAGTGTAATAGTGACACACGGATCAATTGTACAGGATAAAAGTTTCAGGTTGTTACATCATCCCCCCGTTTGAGGGAATTTCGTCCCGAAATTCAAGAATATGGATATAAATCATGGATTTGGAAAAAGATGAGGGTACTTCTGTTTCATTGAATCCTCGCGCTCCCAGGTGAATTTAGGTCCCGCTTCGCATTCCAGCGAACCTTCACTATCGGGATGTGACTTTGTTTCGTGCGTTTGACCTCTCGGTCCATCATTTCGATTGGTTCTTCTACAAACTTCAGGTTCTCGTTGATTTGAATCTCATCGAGAAGAATTGTGAGGGTTTCATCGGACACGCATTTCCTAAGATTTGAGACATGGAAGACGGGATGAATGTTACTGAGTTCATGCGGTAGACGAAGTCTGTAGGCTACAAGACCAATCCTAGCAAGGATTTTGTATGGTCCTATGTACCTTGGATTTAGCTTTCCCCATTTTCCAAAGCGATCATGCCTTTCCATGGCGTGAACTTTAGCAGGACGGTCTCCGACCTGGAATTCCAATGGTTTTCATCATTTATCGACGTAGCTCTTTTGTCTATCTCGTGAAGCTCTTAGTCATATAGAGGGTGTGTGCGGCTGTACACTCCTCATTTGTGCCAAAAATGTCGATTTTTGAGGTGTTCAGTTACTAAAAACAAGTCCAAATAGAAAATGGAGGCCAAAATCTTTACCTTAGAGAGTTTTGATGAGTGTGCGGCCGCACTCCTTCAAAGGATGAAGAACACGAAGAACATGAAGAGTTTCAGGCTTGGATTTAGGTGTTTTACCTGTATAACAAGCTAGATGATGGAGTTATTCATGTTTTTTAGGACCCCTAGAGTTTTCTTGGAGGAGATTTTTAGAGAGAGAAAGTAGTGTGCAGCCAAAGAAGAAAAAGTGAATGAAAGGGGGTCCTCTCCTATACATAGGGTCAGGTGTGCGGCTGGCCGGCCGCACACTCGAGTGTGCAGCTGCACACACCTTCTTTGGTGTGATTGGCTCGATTTTGTGATGCTACAAACTTTCTAACCGTTCTTAAGACTCATATCTAGGTTATACTAAGCCTAAATCATTCATATGGACCCACAATTTCGCTAAAAGATGATAAATTCGAGTGTAATAGTGACACACGGATCAATTGTACAGGATAAAAGTTTCAGGTTGTTACATCATCCCCCCGTTTGAGGGAATTTCGTCCCGAAATTCAAGAATATGGATATAAATCATGGATTTGGAAAAAGATGAGGGTACTTCTGTTTCATTGAATCCTCGCGCTCCCAGGTGAATTTAGGTCCCCGCTTCGCATTCCAGCGAACCTTCACTATCGGGATGTGACTTTGTTTCGTGCGTTTGACCTCTCGGTCCATCATTTCGATTGGTTCTTCTACAAACTTCAGGTTCTCGTTGATTTGAATCTCATCGAGAAGAATTGTGAGGGTTTCATCGGACACGCATTTCCTAAGATTTGAGACATGGAAGACGGGATGAATGTTACTGATTTCATGCGGTAGACGAAGTCTGTAGGCTACAAGACCAATCCTAGCAAGGATTTTGTATGGTCCTATGTACCTTGGATTTAGCTTTCCCCATTTTCCAAAGCGTATCATGCCTTTCCATGGCGTGAACTTTAGCAGAACGGTCTCCGACCTGGAATTCCAATGGTTTTCATCATTTATCGACGTAGCTCTTTTGTCTATCTCGTGAAGCTCTTAGTCATATAGAGGGTGTGTGCGGCTGTACACTCCTCATTTGTGCCAAAAATGTCGATTTTTGAGGTGTTCAGTTACTAAAAACAAGTCCAACTAGAAAATGGAGGCCAAACTCTTTACCTTAGAGAGTTTTGATGAGTGTGCGGCCGCACTCCTTCAAAGGATGAAGAACACGAAGAACATGAAGAGTTTCAGGCTTGGATTTAGGTGTTTTACCTGTATAACAAGCTAGATGATGGAGTTATTCATGTTTTTTAGGACCCCAGAGTTTTCTTGGAGGAGATTTTTAGAGAGAGAAAGTAGTGTGCAGCCAAAGAAGAAAAAGTGAATGAAAGGGGGTCCTCTCCTATACATATGGTCAGGTGTGCGGCTGGCCGGCCGCACACTCGAGTGTGCAGCTACACACACCTTCTTTGGTGTGATTGGCTCGATTTTGTGATGCTACAAACTTTCTAACCGTTCTTAAGACTCATATCTAGGTTATACTAAGCCTAAATCATTCATATGGACCCACAATTTCGCTAAAAGATGATAAATTCGAGTGTAATAGTGACACACGGATCAATTGTACAGGATAAAAGTTTCATGTTGTTACATCATCCCCCCGTTTGAGGGAATTTCGTCCTGAAATTCAAGAATATGGATACAAAGCATGGATTTGGAAAAAGATGAGGGTACTTATGTTTCATTGAATCCTCGCGCTCCCAAGTGACTTCAGGTCCCCTCTTGGCATTCCAGCGAACCTATACTATCGGGATGCAACTTTGTTTCATGTGTTTGACCTCCCGGTCCATGATTTCATTTGGTTCTTCTACAAAGCTCAGGTTCTCGTTGATTTCAATCTCATCGAGAAGAATTGTAAGGGTTTCACCGGACACTTATTTCTTAAGATTTGAGACGTGGAAGACGGGATAAATGTTACTGAGCTCATGCGGTAGACGAAGTTTGTAGGCTACGAGACCAATATTAGCAAGGATTTTGTATGGTCCTATGTACCTCGTATTTAGCTTTCCCTGCTTTCCAAAACGTATCATGCCTTTCCATGGCGAGACCATTAGCAGAACACGGTCTCCGACCGGGAATTCCAATGGTTTTTGTCGTTTATCGGTGGAGCTC